TAAAAGCCTTTTTATTAAATATGTAAATATTAAATATACTGTATTTTCTGGTTTGACTATTGACAGTCTATAGTAAAATACTGCAAGTTGGTATTTACAACCCTATTTGTGTTAGATGTGTAAGATGTTGCTACTGAAACCAGTATCCAGATTTACCTTTATTGCCAGCTTTAGTTAAGTATTACTGCAGAGATCCAGTTTTTTCACCCTTATAATGTCACTTGAGGATATGCTTAAAGTCTGTTAACTTCTGATTTCCTGCTGCTGAATAGCACAAGTAGAATATAGATCCTGTATTGGTACTGCTGTGTAGGTGATACTGATTTCATTTTTCTCTTATCGACTATGACTTAGAAGGTGTTAGATACCAGGATGCCACATAGTTTTATGACTCTTCAAACCAGTTAAGGTCAAGGCTTGAGTTGCAGTGACAATAAATGTATTCTAATTTAATCTTCTTTGAAAATAAAGTGTTTTTTCTCTCTGGATAGGAAAAACTTTAGATTTCTCTCTAGGTTCTCCTTGTCACTGGATACATCTTTATGTTTACTGGATACATAATTACTTTTACTGCTGTAAGCAAATCACAGTAAATAGATTGTTTTGAAGTTTAAAATATTTGGGGTACTAGAATGTTCTTTGAATATCAAATTTCATTATAAATGTTTATGCTTTGATCTCTCTGAATACTTCAGAAAACGTACACTACATATTTGTGATCTGGCCCCCAAGAGTAATGCTGCAGGGCAGGAAGAGAGCACATATATTTTGTTTATTTTTAGTTCAAATGGCATAGTTTTTTTCTTAAGAATTTTAGTATTTAATGCTCTGTGATAGTTCAAGTCCGCCTGGATTTAATCTTCAAGTAACTTTGGTAAATCGTAAGTTCAGAAAGTGTGGTAGATGTTGGGTTCTGATGTGTCCTGCAGGTTGGTTTGGAAGGTCTTTTACTGGAAGGATTTCTTACACAGCACTTGAGAGGTTTTATAGAAAGGCACAGCAGTTCATGGGTAGCAGTTCACTTGGTGTGCTGTACCTGCAGAACATCCTCTGGTGCAGATCTCTGCCCTTCATTAGAAAACTTCTAATGCTCAGTTTTTGAAACTTGAGTTCCTAGCTTTCTGAAGATAAAAAGCTATTCTTGAATTTTTTCTTCCCCTGCTTTGAAGTTGAGTTCATCTGGAAGAGAGCTTGTATCAGAGTGAGAGCATTTGTTGCTCCTCAGGTTTCTTCAGGAGCTTTTGGCAGTACTAGATTCCAGGCTCTTCTCTGTACGGTTCTTCCAAAACTCCTTATCCAATGTGGTTTAAAATAGTAGATATCAAGTACAATAACACTGTAGTGAGATTTAACTGTGGCTCAGGTGTCTTTAATTTACTGTGTTTTTCCTTTAAGATGTTCTGTGTGTTGCTAGCAACTTGTACAACTTTTTTATTTTTAGTACCTTGGAGCTTTGTTTGAAAATGTGGTTGGGATAATGCTTTCTCAGCTGTCAGGTGTATTTGCATATGCAAAATTTGATACTCTGAAAGTGTTAAAATTACCTAGAATGAAAATTATCCAGTCATTTTAGAATGAAAAAAGTTTGCATTCATCAGATGGCTTTGTTTGAAATACCAATTACATTTAGGCTTTTATGACTTCTGTTATAGGAATATATTTTGTTTGTAGTCTGCATAAAAATAACATTAGAGGCCCAGTTTGATACTGAGATAGAGCCATCCCCATGCTCCGTGTGTTGGCTGTCAGGAGCTCCATCCCTGGTCCTTTGGCCAGCCAGAGGCACGTAGTAAAAAGCCAGATTGAGCGGAACTGCTCCTTGATTATGCCCTGGGGAGCAACAGTTACAACTGGAGCTGGGCTGCTCCATGCTGAAGTACATGGAAATGCTTTTACAGGAGCTGCCAGCAAGTGGATCATTGCAGATGAGTGAGAGCACATGGAAGGTGCATTGTAGGGAAAGCAAATATAATGCTCTGTTTTAATGAAGTGCTATAAATACAGACTTCATGTTTTGGATCTTCAGTGTAAGGCATATTTGTGAAAATGGAATGTCCCTAAAGATCACTTGGGATTTTGATGGTAAATCCTAGGGAAATGAAAGTGTAAAGGCCTAAAAGGGTGGGAGAAACCTCTGGTTTCTTTAAAAGACAACATGAAATTTTCCTGCTTATGTTTATTTAAAAAACAAGCAAATCCAGTGCAAATCCAGCTGCATAATCACTTTAGCCTTAATAGAGTTCAAACAGATCCTTTTGAGCCATTAATTTTACATGCTTATGGTACTGTGAGGTCATTTTGGAAAACTTCAGGTAACTGTACAGCAATTTTTAATTTATTTTAACATAAGCTATGAAAAGTCTGGTTAAGAACTTGCATATTTTGGTGGTTGAAATCAGTTCTGTGTAACTTAAAAGGCATTTATTTTAAAAAGATGAGTTTCATCCATCATGTGGACTGAAAACTGTATAAAACTATTTTATGGTGTATATTTTTAATCCAGTCTTAAGTCTTTTAAATGTATGCCTTTAACTAGGCAAAGTAATTTGACAGTATTACTAAGAACATTATTTAATGTATTTTCTAATATATACTACACATAAGAAGGTTGAAACATTTGCCTTTGCATTTTTTTCTGAAATTCTGTTTGCACATTTTGGGGTTGAGCAGTAACTTGTACAATTACCCATCTTTGGCACTCCTACATAATGAATTGTTTGGTAAAAATAAAATTAATTTATCTGAGTCACTGGTTCCCAAAGTACATGGTTGTTTGGGGTTGTCTAGATTTTTCTTGATTAGGAGATTTTGCATAAATGAGCAAACGCTCGCTTTCTATTTTTAAAATTGTATTGCAAATAACTTTATTGTTTGAAATGCTTGTGGACTATTTGCATATCAGTGCTGCATTGTAGAGCTGTTGGGTAGTAGCATGAAAGTCTTGCCTGTTTCTTCATCAGATTTGAAAGTGCAGCAACAGAACCATTTTTATTTGCAAAGTGTGTTTTCACTTTTAATCTGTTTTCATGATTCCATACTCACGTGCTGGTGTTGATCTGTTCATGCTGTTAAGAAATCTGTAAGGTATTTTTAATATCATTATTATTTCAAAATTACCTGTAATGTTGCAGGTATCCTTGATAGTAACCCTTGCCACTTACCTTTCTATGACAGTGTTAAAGCCATTTCACTTAATCTGGCCTTTGTGTTAGTGGTTTTCCTTGCTCAAAATCTTGATGTCTGGTTCTATTTAAGATAGTGAGAGTAAAAGCATCAGGAATCAAAATGTATTCTGGCTCAGCCCGTATGCTGAGCGGGAGTGCTGTTTCCATGGCAACACACAGGACAGTGAGGGGGAAGGCTGATGCCTTTTCCTCTGATTCGGAGAGTTTACAGATCCAAACAATCACTCTTAGCAAGATTCACTTAAAAATCAGTTTTTATAGGAGAGGAGGAAATAATGTTAATGAAAATGGTTAATATGCATCAGTATTTTTCTTGTGATGGTTTGTTTCTTTGATCGTGGAGATTCATTAGTGCAAAACAGCTTTTGGCAAATGCTAGAAAAATGTACTAACTATAGCAGCAGTGATCTTGGACACATTAAATGTAGGGTGTTCTGACATTCGATGGTGCTGCAAATGCTGCTGGACAAAACCTTGCTCTACCCTTTAGTGCAAGCTGCCTTCCTCTGGGAGGCTTACATTGTTAAATATAGTTGACATTTCCCTGGGAGCAAGTTCTGAATAAGCAAAGGGTAAACAGTTAACCATTCCACAGATGATGAAGCTTTGCAATTAATTTATTATTTTTTTTACAGATGGCAGGTTTTAGAGCAGGTAATATGCTAAATTGGTCTTTCATTACTGTAGTGCAGCTGTGTCTCAGCCTCGCCCATTTTATTTATTGTAGGAACCACAGGGTGTGTGTTCTGTGCTCAAGCGTATAGATAAATCCTTCTTCCCTAACTGGGTGGGGAAAACATGATGTTCTACTGTTGGAATATGTTGGGGTTCTTTTAAGGCACAATACTTTGAGTTTAGAATGGAGACTGTTTAGTCACTAGAGATGAATTTCTTTCATGATTAAAAATACACAAACCTGAAATTATAGGAAAGAGGAGTGCAAGCCCCAGAATATTGTCTGCCTGTCTAATTTTTTTAACGAAGGATTGGAATAGTGGCAAATACTGTGTGTGGGAATGAATTTATTTGCATGGAGAATTTTCACCTTTTCCTCTGGCGTTGGCTCCCAGAAGATGATGTCACCTTGCAGCTCATTGGTTGTGCAGCACCTAGTGCAGGGAAGGGAGAGAAAGATGCCGGCACAAATCTCAGTGGTGGATCTAGGGTGTTTGCGAGCAGATTTTGATAAAATCTTTGATTAGTATTAAGAATTTACTGCATGTGGCCATGTGAGGTGCTGGTCCATCCTAAGGTGAGGGGATTGAAGAGCTATCAGAGGAATGAGGCGACTGATCTGCAAGAGGATCTGTGATTGTAAGTTGAAAAATCTGGGTGGAAGGAAGGAGACAGGGAGTGCTAGTTAGACACATTGTGGGAGGATGTGTAGCAGAAAATGCATGCATGAGTGAAAGAAGGAAAAGGAGAAGCATTTTTCTTTGGTAGACTAGAATGATAAAAATTGTATTAAGGGCTTTCCTTTTGGAAAAATATTAAGAAATGGTTAAAAAAATTCAGTCTGTGCAAAGGTATTTTCCCTTTGTGGGAGTGGATGTGTAGGATTCATTTTTTGTGCTCACTCCTACTGTGGTTAATTATGAAGGTAAAATAATATCTTATAAGAACTTGAGCTGTGGAAAATGCTGTTTATCTCCCATTGTCATTTTATTCCTAGGTTGGATTCTGGACAAACTGATAAATATTTGTATTTATTTATGCATTTTGTGAATTTGCATGAAGCGTGAAGGAAAATAGTTGGTTAGGAAATAACACACCCCATTCTAATAGCTTATTTTTATTTAACATATCTTTTTCTAGACAAAAGCTTTGATGATGAAGAGTCAGTGGATGGAAATAGGCCATCATCAGCTGCTTCAGCCTTCAAGGTTCCGGCACCTAAAAAGCCAGGAAATCCTTCAAACAGTGCAAGAAAGCCAGGATCAGCTGGTGGGCCTAAGGTTGGAGGTAATGTAAAGCTATTCACATTTTAATCAGTGTTCCCAGAAACCTTGCCAGAGTAGGCACAAAACAGAGAACTTTGTAAGGTGATGTTTAATTCATGACTGCAGTATTTTTGCAGAGCTGAGAACAGTAAGGGACCCTGTTTTATGTAATTATTCATCTGTAAAGGTGTGTGCATGTCTGTCTGTTTTTTTGAGTGTACACTGAGTTTACTAAGGTCTCTGATATTATAAATAAAATTAATGTCTGGAGATAGCATTTATGTTGGTGAAATTAATATATATATATATATATATATATATATATATGTACACATATACATATGGGGTGTCTTTGCCGGAATCCACACTGTACTTTCTGTATATATAAATATCCTGTGAAATTCTGGAGAAAGTCTGTGTAGATGAAATTTTTACTGTAGGTCTGTACTGTTTCACGTGGCTAGAGAGAATTAGCCATCACCCAGAGCTCTCATCAGAGGTGTACATTACATCTGGATGACTTATTATTATTATTATTATTATTCTTTTAACTGTCAGCATTGTGAAATTGGTTGTGAAAAATAAAAAATGAGGGCCAAAACCCCTGGCAGGATTTTTTTGCATGGTATGGCTTCAAAGCAGTGTAATGAGGAATGCTTAGTAATTATGATCTTAGAACAGGGAAATCCGCATTTTTTTAGGGCGGGGGTAGTCTAACAAAAGCAACTGTTTACTGCTAAAGAAGTGGATGCTTTTTTGATGGTTCATGTACACATTCAGACAAAATAAATAATTCTGTGGAAATACACCATACTTCAGGTACAGGGTTTTTATGAATAAGTGGTTCTTTTAGTAAGGGGTTTTTTTAAGAGTAATTATTCTATCTTCCTGTTCATGTAAACCTGTATGTAATCTGCAAAACAAATATAAAATTTGGAAGATGATATACAGGGCAGACAAGCTACCTTAAGTATTTTCACATTACTGAGATAAAGCTAATGTTTTGAAAATGTATTGTTTTTCAGTGGTGATCTTAAGAATTGCTAATAAAATGAAGATTTCCATAGGGCTGGATTAACACTGTCATAGTGTAACTGAGAATTGATAGTAATATATATCAGAATAGTATCAGAAAATACCACTTAAAAGATTCCATAATGGAAATTATCTCATTGATATTTATTATTGTTGTTATTATTGCACATAAGTAAGTATTATAAATAAGTAAATATAAATAACTAATTACAATGTCATCTCCTTTAACCTGAAGCATGCTGTTTTTTGCAGACAAGACTAATATACATAATACCAGAACTGAATGCTTACAATACCTGTTTATTTCAATATGGACTTTTAATAATATTTTATTAAATATAGATGGTTTTTAATGTAATTGTTTTTTTACATGTAGGCTTTTCACTTTATATACTCTGCAGTAAAAACATGGAGATACAAGGTGAAGGGAGATAAAAACAGAATAACCACTTACTGATTTTTTCAGTTAATCTAAAAATACAGTGGTCAAACAGATTAAAACTCCAAAAATTATTACATTATTTTTTCTCCTTTTTCTATATTGCCAAACTTAAAAAAAATTAAATTAAACATGCCAAAACCAGAGCACTATGGTCATTCCTTGCTTTATATCATCTTCTTTCAACTGTGGAAAATATTGGGGTGTGTTTATATACCCATCTATTTCCCTTCTTTTTTTATTCTGTACTGTATCTGTAGTCAGAATTTTAATAGAATATTTACAAATCCTGCATCTTCTAGCCTAATCAAGAACATTAGTATAGATGCCAAATGTATTTCTAAAACAATAAGGTCATAGTCTCTTCCAGAAGTGAGGCGCTTCCTGTGGTAATCTTCATATGAACAATGACACTAGGTCAGACAAGAGGTCTGGGCAGTCCAGTGTCCCATCTGACAGTGGTCAGAAACAGCTACTGAGACATGTACAGGAACAGAAGTGTCTAGAGACACACTGTCATTATGGGACAAAATGCTGGGTTTGCGAAGCTTTATTCCACAGAGAACTATCGTCTTTGGAGAGTCCAGTCAGGGCATCTTGTTCTGCTTATCGAAAGACTTCCTGGATTTTTATGAATACATCAAAACCTTGATGCTCTTTCACATCCAATTTCTGTAGGATCTGCTTTGCAGGTGCCTAAAGGACACCTGAGATTTTCATCCAGCCTCGAAATTGCCATCTCTATAGAGTAAAATTATAGTTTTGGAAGTTGTTTGCTCTTGCTGATGTAGTAAGGCTCTGCTGTATCCTACAGTCCCAAGTCCTTGTGCTCACCACTGCATTCCAAGTCAGTAGTCAGTGGGCGTGCCATTTCTCGCCTTTTCCTCATCAGCACTGGATGGGTATTTCAGGCTTTCACTGTTCACCTCGTGCTTCTGCCACCTGTTGTTCCTGCCTGTCCCTTTTTTCCATCTCTCCATAAATCCATGTAGTTCAGCCTTGGAGGAAGAACTAGCAGCAGCTCCTTTAACAGTGTTGCTTTTTATTTCCCTTCCTCAAAAATCTTCGAAGTCATGTAAGCGACCTGCAGTTGAAGCAGGTCTTTTACTGCAGTTTGTCCTCTTCGGACTTCTGTGACCAGGCAGAATTTAGTGCAGATAGAAATTGTGTTGAACAAAGGCTGAGATTACTGCAAGTTCCATTCATTTTAACTGCCTTTTATATTTTAAAGGATCCCAGAGATCCTTTTCATAGGATGTTATTTGACAAAGGTTTATTTTCCTAAGAGCTGTAGACAACAAACTACAGATTTTTTTCCTGGGTCCAGAAAGGATTTGAGGCTACCTTGTCATGAGACTTAGAAAATGGAATTCCTTAGCCATGCTGCCAGCTTTCTTATCTGCTGACATGTGCTGAATTATACCTCAGATGCCTGTGTGCTTGGCTTTTCATTTAGATACATCATGGAGATGGTTCTTAATGAAGAAATGGGTAATTCCACCATTGCCCAGATATGTTGTTCAAGTGAAAGGACCCATCTGATATACAGAAAAATAATTTCTTACTGTTTTGGGCATTTTCCATTTAATGTAGGAAATGTACTTTGGTGGCACTGGAAGTCCAACATCATTGTCCAGGAAGGCAGGTGAAACAGGTATTTATATGAGCAATAACAGCGTCCTACTCAGCCTGGAATTCTCTCTCCTTGTGCTGGGAAAGACTGTGTCAGACATTTTCCTATTAGCAGTTGGGATGGGAAGACTTGTAGAGCTTGTGGATTTGCTGAGAGGTGTACTGGATCAGGCAGCCACAGTGGTTTACTGCCCTGGGAGTAAAGAATCCAGCAGGCTGTTTCTCCTCTTTTCTGTTTGGAGATGTTCAGACACTGAGCTTCTTGTTAGTGATGAATGAGAAGTGATAGGTCTTCCACTTAATGGGACAGTGCTTTATTTGGCATATTTCTTACTCTGGTCAATTCGTTTCCCCAGTTAGACCTTTGCCAGCAAGCACACAGCTGATCTACTTTCTTCTGATACACTTGCTCTCAGCTATTCATTGAGGTGGTAGAGCCTCTGGAAATACCTCTTTGCTCTAAAGCCTTCTTACTGAGGATATGCACTCTGTGTTCTGGCCTTGCAGAAATGGATACTCAGGGGCTTTTTCTTGGCAGTATGGCACAAGTAGCTTTTTAATCGTGACACCATAATTTACAGTAGAAAAGGACTTGAGTATGTCAGCCAAATGAGCTATATTCCTGTCCCTATGCTGTTGAAGATCTCTTATGAGAGACCTCTTACCTTGTCTTTGGCAAGTTCTCTTGCAAATGTGAAATCTCTGTTCCAAGTCTTCTAGGGAATTGCCTGTTTGTATACCATTTGGAAGCTTTATGTAATCTAAGTATTAGTAGGAAACCTCAGGCTGCCTCAACAAGAAGTCTGTCATCCTCTCTTTTACCAAAATGTCAGTTTAGGCCAGTAGTCTTTAAAATGGTTTAAATGTAGAAGTGGTGATTCTTCAGAAGAGCCATGTGGCCTTTGGAAGAAGTGCTTGCTGATGAAATATAATCATGACAGAAGTTTGTGTTAACTTTCTTCTGTATCTTCTCATAAAAACCTCTGTGGGACGGGATTATTATTCTTGTAATTTGAAACATGGTGAGCTTCATACTTTTTGCAGCATTTTCAGCAGGAAGATACTGCATGATGCATTTTAATCTTTAGTTCATTGAGGTTTTTTTAAAATCTTTAGTACACTGATGGGCTGGCAAAGTTATGTATTGGTTATTGTTTCATACTGACAACATTGTTACATTTTGTGAAACAACATATCTGTAGAAATCAAGTAACTGGAAAACCTGGTTGAACCAGGTGAACAGTTTGGCAGAAGAAGGCTGTAAGAACTATACTAACACCATACATAAAGGAACTGTAGGAAGCTGTTCCCAGCTTTAGGAAATTTTAAGTTAGGTTTTTCTATCTGTCATTATGCTTTTTTCCCCCTTCTCAATAACAGACATACATCTCTTTGTTGAAAAGTATTAAATGGTGTTTATTTGCTTTTTTTGGCTCAGTTTCCTAGCAGAAGACATTTTTGATCCTTTGGAGGCTTTAGTATAAAAAAAAATTAAATGAAAAGGCTCTGCATAAAACAAATATGAGGCTGACAGGTGAAATCTCAGCCAGTTGAAGTTAACCTCATTAAAACTACATGTTGTAGTTAAGAAACATCTGTGTTGAAAGGACTTCAGTAATTGTGGAACAGTAAATTCACATTGTTAGTGAATAGGCTTGAAACAAGATAGACTCATGTTCACTGTATCAATTGTCTCCAGACTCAAGAGAGTTCTATGTTCACTTGTACAAAAAACAAAACAGAATTCATAATCTATACCCATAAGGGTGTTTTATTTTTAAATTTTGAATTCTGCAGAAAATAAGTTTGTGAATGTGTCCTCTACTATTCTTGTTAGCCCTCATTACTTGATTTCCGAAGTGCTGTATTTGTTGTGTAAAATAAACTAGGAATTTTTTGTTTTCATTGTTCTACCC